AGTTTTTTCGCGAATTCAAAAAGTATTCAGCTTGAAACTCCTTTGTAGTAGTTATTTTAAATTTTGAAAAATTAACTATTTTGATATATTTTTATTTTTATTTTATTAAATGAAAAATAATATAAAAATATTCTTGTGTTCGTTGTATCTTCAAAGGATTGATATTACATTTGTTTAGTTTGGCTCCTGAGCTGGCTTACTCTTATACGGAAAGTCGATCAGAGATTCACCTATTCGAAAAACTCTTATTTATGGTTCAATTTACTTGAATTGAATTGAATTGAATTCATAGGCGGCTTTTTGCTTAGATTAACAGTAAGACCACTCTTCTCAGCGGAAAGTGGAGCAAGCGTATGCGTGGCGTTTAGCATACCTAAATATAGTGCTTTTGTTATCGTGGAACCAAATTCGATTTTCTCGAAACAATACCTTCGTTACCGGAAAGGGATACCCGATAGATTGAAAAGAATTTAATATGTTTTGGATTTAATTATGTCGCTTCGAAATTTTAATATTTTGCGACTACGGTTTAAGCTCGAGTGTAAATAATCTAACATTTGAATGATGTGCTTGGCTTACTTGAGCGCATTCATATTGATATTATTGTGAGACTTAGAGCGGTGAAGAAGTGGCATTAACGTACGTATAAGGGGATAAATCGAAAGATACTGAACTTTGTGTTGACACACAAATTTAAAACCTGCAATTAATCACCACTGCACTACGCATGTCAACCTGCTAAATAATCCATCGGCCGATGTATTATCATATGACAGTTACCGGAAATGGGGAACGGCAAAATGCTAATTGATCGGAATTACTGATGGATTATTTTATTTGATAACTTCTTTTATTGAGTGACGCCAAAAGAAGAATTGAATACTCTCTGATTCTTAAATATCCAAATCCATTATAGCGATCATGGGGGGCTGTGTGAGCGTTCTATCCTCGTTGCAGCAATCTAAAATGTCTACGATCTCAACCAGACTATTCAGTCCAATATTGAAAGGGAATGCGTCATACAAAGGGTGATTTTTTAGCTATCATTTTTTTGGTAACACTGGCTTAAACAGCTAAGGCACGTTTCGACTTGGTATCATTGTCAAACATATTCAGTTTGGTCTATAATTTAACCAAACGAATCACGTTTGCAAATTATTTTATGATCAAAATGCGTTCTCTGTTAAGAGAGTTCATAAAACTAAATAAATAAATTGTGCTCAGCGACGAATGCATCCAGAAAAAGTCACAGTTTGATGTGGTTTATGGGCTTGTGGCGTCATTGGACCGTGTACTTCTACAAAGATGATGCGAATCGTAGCGTAACTGTGAATGGTGAGCGCTACCGTGAGGTGATATGGAACTTTTTTTGCCCAAAAGGCAAAAGCTTGACTTTCTGACACGTGGCCTTAACAAGACAGTGTCACATGTCAAACAGCAAGCGTAACAGTGGACTTATTGAGAGGCGAGTTCGGTGAATATTTTATTTCACTTCAGGTACCGGTTAATTGGCAGCCTAGATCGTGCAATTTAACGCCTTTAAACTGTTTTTGGTGGGGCTATATTAAATCGAATGTCTCTACAGACAAGCCCGCTTCGATTGACACATTGGAGGACAACATTAAAGCATCAAATTAGCGAGATACCGGCCGAAATGTTGGGCTAAGCAAAGGGACTGATTGAGACGCAGTCACAATCAATATTTGCATGAAATAAACTTCAAATATTAAATTATATGGATCGTACTGTGAATTCAAATAAGATTTCATGCATTTTTTGAATTTTATGTGTTTTTTTTGAAAAACTTTCCTATAGCTCTTAAAAATCACCCTTCATAAGTTAATGGGCACCGTGTACGAAGCACATGAGACAGTCTATTATCCAGCTAAGAATGTAAGATGGAAAACAAAAATCTTCCATAGTTGTTTGCTGCTTTCAGGGAACTTGGAAACATTGCCTTTAGTATAAGAATTCAGATAGATGTTTAGCAAATATTCTAACCTCAAAGTTACATTTATTCAAAAAATTTTAAGTGCAAGGGACTAAACAATTTTATGGAAATAATAAAAGAGTCGAATTTATTGAAACTGACCTCGCTTTCTCCATGTAATGCATGATTACATACATACAAATGAATAAAATAAATGAAAAAATAATACGCGCACAGATATTTTTGTATGATAATATTCTTGTATGAATTTATGTATATTGATTTTGTCAAAATTTATGGAAACCTTAAAATAACATTAATAACAAGAAACAAGAAAAAATAAATATACAATTTATTTCTTATATTCCTGTATAACAACAGCATTTTAGAACATATCGAACCTTTTCAACCCGTAAAATCCTACCACCAAATATATGTACGCATATATGCATATGCGTATGTGTTTATATATTATATATAAATATGTACGCATCGTATGTTAAACCCAATCATTATATGAGTTTTTCTTATAACTTGCCACAAACAAAATTGACACAAATTTATTTCGAATTAAATGTCACCGAAACTGTCAATTTCTCTTTTGTCCTGCTACTGATGGAGATAAAATAACCATCGCTTGAATTCTAACCTTACATGATTTTTTTTTGTTTTTTTTTTTTTTAATGTGTAGACCAGAGGTCATTTATAACTTCAGTCAGTGGTTTTAAAAAATAAAATAGATTTCCTTTTTAAATAAAAATAAGAAATAAAAAAACAAACAGAAAATGGAAAATGTGAAAGGAAAAAAAGGAGAATTAAAAAGTCAATGGAAAAAAATCGGCAAAGACGCATTGATGCGTTGAATTAAACTGTCAATTTCAACAAATTAGAGTGGATTTTTGGCTAAACTTTGTAGGCGACAACAAACAAAAAACAACAAATTTCACGTGGTGTATGTGTGTGTGAGAGAGAGTGTGTGTGTGTGGGTCAATTATCGAAATTTCTGTGGTGAACCCACATCAATTGGCTAATAATTTTTGCGGAATGCATGCATAAAAAATGTAAGTTTCTCGAGCGAAAAGAAGTAACTGACAGGTGGATTTAATGCGAGAGATTAGTAAATCTAGAAATGTGCTTAGATGTGTGCTTGTTCCAGTACATATTCAAGCTTAACATGTTATTTTCTTTTTTTATAAGACATTTAATTAAATTTGAATTAAATGGTATAAAATGATATTTTGTATTGATTTTAATCAAACTTAAAAATATTACTATTTATACAGATGTAAAAAAAATAAATTCCAGTCAATTCTACTGAAATTTAAAAAAAAAAAAAAAATTAAGTTAAAGATTAAGTTTATATTTTAAAAATAAATAAGATATCAGTAAGTTGTATATAATATATACAAATTTATGTATGTATTTTCCACAAACTCATTTTTCTTTAATTTTTGAATAAGAATTGTGCGACAGAATTATTTTGAATATCCTCAATATTTTTTTCATGCTAAAAATTGTAATTTTTTCTCAAATGTGTTACACAAAGTTGACAATTTGGGTTTTCTTACTATTTTTTAATGTATATCCATTTTCTTTAAGTTATATTGAATCAAATATATAAAATCCACCTAAAAATCTATATATAAATACTTAAAAAAGCTGTAATAAAATATTTTAAAACGGAACAAACAAAATTTGTTTTTAAAAGTCTAAGAAAATGATGCTGATGATAGCAATATATATTCTTTCCGAGCGAAAAAAATTAAAGTGATTTAGGTTCAGTATTAAATTAACTCATTTTTGAACTAAAAAAGATGGATGAAATTATAATTTTTTTTATAACTAAAGCAAATTTTTTTTTTCAAAAAATTCAAATTTTTTTTCAAACTCCGAGAAATTGTAGAACGTTTCAATTTTTTTGTTATTTTTCTAGTTTATATAGGAGAGAAACTCTTAAGAATTAAAGAATTGTTTCAGATGCATTTTCAAATTTCGAAAAATCCTAGAACTTTTCAACTTATTTGATATGTTCCCAGTTCATATAGGGTAGAGACTCATAATTATTAAAAAAAAAAAATTGGTGTGTCTGTTTTAGGCACATCGCACGACCAACATCACCGGCGCCGTTTCAAAGTCCAGTCTGCAGCCGCTTCAGAAAACTCATTGCCACATGGGAAAATTTCAATATTATTTTGATATAAATTTTTTTTTAAGCTTAAATATAGTAGTTTATTGTCTGAAAATTTTGTTTACCGCAACATATTCCTTCTCTTTCGAAAAAATTGCTGAAAAACGCTTTTTTTGAGATCTAAAGGAGACTAGAGGTTTAATATCAAAACGTAATCAAATCATGCTGAGTAACGCAGAGTTTATGCGGTTTTAAAATAAAAAATTTGGGTAGCACAATAAAGTCCTTTCGGTAAGTTTTCCATATTAATATAACAAATGGCATCGTTTCGTCGGTTGGGCATTTCTGTCATTAGTTATTACTTTAAATAAATAGAAATCAACTTAAATTAATTATTCAAATTTTTCAATTTATGCAATTATATTACAATAAAAGTATTTTAAATTTTTTTGATTTAAAAATTGTCAATTGACATAAATTTAGGCTAAAAATTTACAATTCAGCATTTTTCCAGTTTTATAGATTTTGGTTAATTTTTTTTTTTTAAACGCGTTTGCTATTACTTAACTTCATAGTATTTATGTTTTGCATTTTATATACTTTTTTCTTTTAAATAATATGTAAATTTAAATTTTTTTTAATATATAAATTTATATAACATTTAACTTCAATCAATGTTTGAATCAAATATTTAAATTATGAAAAAATATCAAAAATTAACAAAATTATATAAGAAATGAAAAAACTATTTTATATATGTACAAAAAACAATTTAAAATAAATATTTATATAATTATAATTAATTTTTGTTTGCACAAAAAAAAATCACTTACAATTTGTGATTAAATTTTGAAATTGTTTTGATTGCTTAGTAAATATTATACGAATATTTGTAATTACATTTTATTAAAAATTAATTCTTATTTTTTCATCTCTTTACAGCATTCAACAACGCCTGCAAACATAAGCAATTTCGTACATAAAAATTAATGTAACTGTTTATTGGCTTTAATTGGTGTCTTATCAAATAGAAAGGTATGTACGCACATATGCAGCATATTAATATTTTTTTCTATGAAGAAAAGCTAATAAATTACTAGTTTGCTTCTGGGCATAGTGTATGTCTGTGCGTTTCTCAAATGCCTCAGTTCATAGTTCAGTTAGTTTGTCAATTGTTAACGCGCACATACATACGTACATATATATAAAAAAAATATTTGCACTTGATGATTTTGCAAAATAACTCATTAAAAATCGCTATTTCAACAAAATTGAATTATATTTACTACTACGATTTACCTCCTCCCTTCCCCCTCGTACGCATATACTAGTATACGAGTAGATAGATAGATGCATATATGAGAGATGCAGTACTTCATTATCAGCACAAATTTATTGGTATGAATAATTCAGCCATCGTTTATTCTTCATTATTTATTTATTTATTTGGCGTTGTGCTGTTGTTGTTTATTACTAGTTTTTTTGTTTTTCTTTGCTCATGACGCACATTGCTTTAATTTATTTAATTTAAATTTACTAACAAACCGCGTCGTAATATTATACAACTATTGCAGCTTTTTTTATGTGTACACTCTTTGTACACTTTTGTGTGAACATATGTAGCAACAAATGTTTTTTTTTTTTTTTTTTTTTTTTTTTTTTTTTTTTTTTGCCAATATTGTTCATGAAGGTAATAAATTTTTTGCCATTGACGCTGCTGACATTGTCAAAAGTTTAAGCGAAAATGTGTAAAAATACATGCACATGCATATGTATGTATGTATTAAATATATATATGTATTTTATTTATTTATATCAACGCTTTTAAACTGTTATGCTATGAATAAATACAAAGTTTATTATTTTTAAATGAAACGCGTTTGACCATTGCGTTTGATGGCGCCCGATGACCTCCCCCCAACACGCTCTGTACAATTCCCATAAAACTTTAGCGCCATTGGGAAAACATATGTTCGCACTGTTGTGAAAAGTTTCATTGACAATTTAATGCGGATATGTGCCACAAAAAAATACAAAAATAAAAAATAAAAACAATATTGCAGTTATTTTAAACTCTACTAAACAAAATGAAAATTTAATAGTACGTAAAAAGTATATTAATTAAATTATATGAAAATAATGAACTAAAAAACTGTATACAAAAAAACTAAAAAAAAAAAATAAATGAATAAATTCAAGTAAACCAGACTAGAGAGATAAGCCCAAAATTTTATGCGGATTAAACTCATGGCATATCAATTGTGTAATTTTATCATTTCGATAATTTTTATTGGCATATTTTGTTGAAAAAAAAGGAAATTATACACTCGTCTATATTTATAAAAACTAAATAAACTGACTTACGTATTGCAAAATGTTTTATCTGCTTTTGATGGGTATTAATACAAAGCGTGCATTTTCCAGCTCACCTGCAATGATACAAAAAAAAGAAGAAGATAATCGTTTGAATTATTCATAATTTAATTAGTAGTAGTTTACTGTGCTTTTTTTTTTTAATAAAAATACTGTAATCAGATGACAAACCTGCAATGCCATTGACTTTGTAAAAGTACCTTTTTTTATTAACCACAAAAACCACGTTGTTAGTGGACTGAAATTTTTAGTTTTTTTTATTGATAATAACCAAGTCCGGACGTTAGGAATTCAGAAAATGCCACCAATTCCACTAAATGGAACCTTTTAGAAAGGTATACTACATTACAACTGTTTTGTATACCGTTATAAAAAAAAATAATAATTTAGGCTTTCATTTATAGAACAAGCGATGCTATAGTTCTGGCTTACTATTCTCCGTTCACTCACCAGTTTTTTTTTTAAACATTAATATTTATTGATTGAATCTACTTCGACAAACGAGGCCTAACAATTAGCAATAAAAATTTAAATAAATTAAAACAAAAAACCTATTAGAAAGAATGGGCTGTTGTGTCACTTCCAAATTAGTCGACTATCCCAGTGAATGCCAAGGTATGTGATTTCGTTAGCTTGAAAGATAGGCACATCGTTGAGCTTGACGAAAGGGCATTTAATTGGCCTTAATGTAAAAGTGATGTCTTTGCACTTATTTTCATTAACTTTTATGCGTCATTTCGCTAACCATTCGTCAATTAGAGCATGCATTGGTAGGCAACATTAATTCCATGAATTTCATAAAACACACGAAATGGTTTGAACACTTGGAAAGCGTTGACGTTAATTTTAAAACGCCTGTTTCCAGTGGTACTAAAAGACTACCCAAATTTTAACATTTAACAGTACCAGTTAATGATTAAACATTGTCTGTTAACGCTTTAAAATTAACTGTTAACGTTTAAGCATTGTCTGTCAACGCCTTAATATTATCTGTTAACTATTAAACATTGTCTGTTAACGCTTTATAATTATGTGTTCACGATTAGACATTGTCTGTTAACGATTTAACATTATCTGTGAACGATTAAACATTGTCTGTTAACGTTTTGAAATTATCTGTTAACTATTAAACATTATCTGTTAACGCTTTATAATTATCTGTTAACGTTTAAACATTATCTGTTAACGATTAAACATTTTCTGTTAACGCTTTAAAATTATCTGTTAAAGCTTAGACATTGTATGTTAACGCCTTAACAGCGACAACATTTTGTTTTAGGTTTAAACGGAATAAAATTCTTTCTGAATACTGCTAACAGTTTCAAACGTTACAACCGAATTTATCGTTACGATGCATTCTTTTTTTAAATATATACATATGCATATGTTTCACAAAGGCATTTGGCCACGTGCAAAAGTTACAAGCCTATCGAGATTCACTGACCCTTTGTCCTAGGTTTATCAAAATCAAACTTTTGAAAAAAAAAGATTATTAGAAATACAAAATTTTACATCCATTGTGTAATAATTACAACAAAAAACCATTATAATAATATATGTGTATATAAACATATATCCGCTAAATTATCAACGCAAATTCATACTGATTCATGTGAATGCTGTTATCGTGCTTGGGTTTCTTTAAATGTATTTTTTTGTTAAATTTCTATTACGCACATTAATACACATTAATTAAAACGCAATTTTTATTTAAATAAAACTTTAAATAAATACAATAATTAATTTAAAAGCTTCGATTTTGGTGCAAATGCTACAGACATTCCATACATTCGTAAATACGAGTATTGTATAATAGTAAAAGGTGAAGTAGCAGAAAACATGTTCATTTCAGCAGCTGTTAAGTGTCTGTAGAAGAAAGAAGCTGATAAAGTAAACACGCTTTGAAGGCAACTTTCGATTTGGTGATGCGACAGGTTTACACAAAAAATTTAATTTACCAGTTTTTTTTTTATTGCTCTTTCTCCTGGCTTACTTTTTTATCAACCCATGCCATATTTTAAGCGCTAAATTATACATACGTGTACATACATATATGTATGTATGCGCGAATTGCTGCTTTTTAATGGCAATGAGTATGCATTATTTATTTTTCGGACGCATTTCCGTCGCTCAGCTCAGCACTCGACTACTTGTCGCCAAATGGTGTATGTGAATGGCCAATGAATTAAATCATCCCTTACCTCCGTTCCTCGCACCACATCTACTACAGATGGTACGTTGAACGCGGTATTAAAATGGAAACACTTTTTTCGTGTACAACTTATTGGTGCTGTGCTGATAACTCAGCGTTTAATCAGCAACGCAATCAGCAATAACCAAACAGTCATCAGCGTAAAGGGGGAAAATGGTGAATTGGTCAATGCTGCGGTACATATTACGAACACCAGTAAAGTGTGTTGTGTTGTTCTCAGCGGGCAACAAAAAAAAAAATATATAAGCAAAAGCACAAATTAAATTTAAAAATATATGCTTGTAAACAGCAGCGGCTCCAACACTGCTGGCTATTAATTATGTGAGTGATTTTAATATTTTATTTCTACGTTTTTCTTTTTTGCATTACTTTTGCGGTTGGTTATAAATTTTACAATAATATTAATTCTGCTTACTACCGCTGTTCAACTGGATTGACGATAATGAATGTATTATTCTTTAAAGATTGTAAGCAACAGATGCAAAGTTCCTTACGAGGTGGAAAGAAAAGTATTTTAGGAAGAATAATCAGAAAGCATAATTAATTTTTTTTTTGAAGTAAAATCGAAGAGTGTGTTCCAAAAGCACTAAATTTTTTAAAGCACAAAAATTTATACAAGAAAATCTTCTCTTCGTTGTTACCTGCAAAGAGTAGCTAAGAAACACATTTTCCATTTAAAAGAAATGGAAAAAATAAGTACGACAATTGATTATTAAAAAATGCATTATATAACACCGGCACAATCGTTAAAAGTGAATCTCAAATGCGAACAAAGAAGACTTACAGTGGGGTTCATAAATAAAGTGTCCTATATGTTAAACTATTTTAATAAACTTAAAAAACCATGTTGCAGCGAAACGTTTGCATGTTAATTATTTCTAATTTTATTAAAGCTAATTCAACCAAAAAACGTTACTTTGGAAGAAGACCATTTCCAATGGAAAAAAGGGCTTTTCACATATTTACATAGGCACTCATTTCACTTTATTTTCTCATTTTGCTTTTTTTCTTTTATCGCTTGATTTTATTTGATTTGGTTTTTAAATTTTTTAAATATATTTCAAATTATTTGAATTTTATTTATTTTATTTAATTTAATTTTTAAATAATTTTTTTTGTCCCTCTTCATATTGGTGCGTAATGTTCATAAAATTAATTTTAATTCATTTCATGTCATTTTGTTTAAATTCTGTATATTTAATTTATTTAAGCTTAATTAATTTAAAACAATTTAATCATTTTAGTTTGTACCATTTTATATTATTTATAAAATTTTTTTGATTTTATATTTTCAATTTGATTTCATATAAGGTTGTCAAATATCCGCTTTTTTGTCTTTTGAATTTCGCGGCTATGTACAAAGCGCAAAGCGCTCGTATCTGGCAACACTATACATAATTTGAAAGGTCTTGACATAACCTACAAAACAACGCTATGCATGATTAGTTTG